AAGTTGCCAAGAGAAGTCCACATAAGATCTACAAAGAAAGCAATTAGAACACAAATACTACAAATGGCAAGAGATATAAGATTGCACTACTATTGGAAGGATACAGGATGATATAATAAAGTGAAATGAAATGCTATAATAAAAACTAATTTAAATTTAGTTAAACTTAGAATATTACACATAAAATGAAGTAATAATAGTTATAGTCAAATAAATGATTAATAATGATAATAATTATATTATATATACACACAGAGACACATATACACACACACATACACACACACACATATTTTGTGCACATGACTGCAGAAAGGCATCACAGCACTGACAAAAGGCAACAGTAAAAATAATGGCTTTCTGTCGTGATAGTCTCTTGTGATGAGCCGATAGACAGAGAAAGGAAGCAGTATGCGTCCTCCCATATTTGGGCATACCAGGGGTTGTAACACAATATATAATATCATAATATCATAATATAAAATAATAATATAATATAATATAAAATAATATAATAAATATAATATAATTGATAATATGAGATTTTATATAAATTGTAAGTGAAGACTATGGTGAGGAGGCACAGGAGTTCTGTGACCAATTGACATATTGTATGTAACTGGAGGATGGTTTTTATGTTATATGTTTGTTTATTTTGTCTGTTTAAAAATGAAAAAATGAAAAAAGAAAAAAGAAACACTGTGACAGTCATAAATACGGACCATCAAGTACCCAAGTTTTGATCAGGTGACTGTGATCAATGGTCATGAGTCTGAAAAATGGAGTTGTCCCTTTTGTCAGTGCTGTGGTGACTTTCCGCAGTCACTAAATGAGAACTGCCTTTTCTTTTCTTCTCCCCATAATGGCTGAATGTCGCATCTCTTCATAGACGCTATGAGGAAAGTTTCTTTCCTTTTCTTTGCTAATGCTCTATCTCTCCACTCTTGTTCCCCAGCTTCTCTATCATCCGGAGGTTGGACACTTCTTCATCATGAAGGACATCCTCAATGTCCTCCAAGACTGGATGGCTCAGCCATATCCCCTCATCCAAATATTTGCTATTCGTGGTCTGGGGTATCCTCTCCAGCACCCCTTTGAGGTAAGAGATGAGGGGCAGGAAGTGAGGGACTTTCAAGGGAGCAGCAGGTGTGACCTCACTCTCTAGGAATTCTACAAGGTTAGGAAGGNGCTTAGAGAGGGCTGAAAGCCCTATGAAGCGGTATATAAGTCTAACTTATAGCCCTACAAATAATGATACCTGTAATTACTATATAGCCCAGTTTATATAATCTACTCCATTAAGCATTTAGCTGATTTAACTCCAATTAATTCTATGTTTCATGAGAGGCCCAATTTTATGAGATGCAAAAATGAAATGTAAAGCCTTGTTAAAAAGGGACTGTATTGTTTTTATTACTATCAAATCCAGAGAGGATTCTTCCATCCTCCATTGAATTCTCATTTATAAAATAGATGATCACTCTGTGTGCAAATTCTTTGAATATTCCAACTGAATAACTTAATGTGTATCCTTCAGTCTAAAAATATTTTATTATCCAACTATTCTTTGATCTTCTACTATACTATCTGGAATAATACAGCTATATTTGAAACGATAGCTTTCTTCCCTTCCACAAGGGTCCACTGAACTATTATTGTGTCTGCTACATGACTTGAATTCATTTGGTGAATAGAGAATCTGTTTCTCATGTTGCAAACTCCTACTAGTCTTACTGCTGTAGACGTTGTTATTGATCAAAGAAGCCATGTCAAGATTTGCATGCAGTAAAACTGAACAGCTGCCCCTCTCCACCTTCACCCTCCTCTCTCAAGATGAAGCAAGAGGAGAAAGCAGCAGGAGAAGTCCTGTCTTTGCTAATTAGACTCTAAATATGATGGAAGCTTTTTTAAACCAGCCTCCTGCCTGAGGCATGAATTTACTAACTTTAGTTTGTTGTTAGGTTTGGTTCATTGATCTTGTCACAATCGATGATTCATTAAGTTGTGATCTGTGTAGAAATTACAATGTGCAGATGAATCAGAAGGACATATCTGAGCACTCCCCAAGTGTTATTTAGGAAAGGCTCTTAGTAGCAGGCATGTGCTGCACACCAAGTGCCAATTGTCATTTTAAATTCTCAGTTTATGGCCCGTGGGTGGTAATAATGAAGCATTTAAGGACTGGTTGCTTCTAAAATATATCTTCAATTATTGTTAGAGGAGTTTTTTTCTTCCAAAAAAACTAAGTATTTGGCTGCTCTTATAACTTCTTTTATTGTAGTATTTCTTTTTCAATTAGGAAGGCTTTATAGGTCTATATATCTTTTTATGATTTCATTTTTTTCATTTAGATTTTGAACTAAACCACTTTTCAGGACAAATGCTAGGAATTCTTATATGGGGAAGTAAAATATTCCTCACACATATTTGAAAAAAGTGACAAATATGTGCCAATAGTAGATGTACCCAAGATGTTTTTTCTTGATTAAATACATAAATACATCCTTACCTCATGCCCTGATGGCTACCCAGACAATTATTTTGTTAAGTAAAATAGAAGGCTTTAGAGCAGGGGTGTCAAACTCAAGACCCGGGGGCTAGATCTGGCCCACAGGGTGCTTAAATCCGGCCCACAATGTCTCTGCCAGGAAAAATGAAGTTTGGGTGGGCCACATGCGACCCTCCCAGGCTTTGTTTTCTCTGCCAGAAGGTTGCAGGAGGCCATCGCAGCTGGAAATGGAGCTCGGGAGGCCACTTTCACTGGCAGTGTGCTCAGTTCACCAAAGGCAACCGTAACACGAGTGACATTGAGCTGGCCACACCCACCCCAGCCATGCCCATTTCCGCCCTCTGAGGGCAAACACACCCCTGATGCGGTCCTCAATGAAATCAAGTTTGACATCCCTGCTTTATAGTTTATGAAAGAGGAAGTTAATCTTAATAACACAGGAGGTGGTTGAAGAAGTTAATTTCTACCACCTATTTCTAATTAAAACATTTTCATTTGGCCATTTTGTATGCATAAAATAATTAATGTAGTTATTTTCTAGGGAGAAAAAAATATATCAGATACGAAGATTGGAATTGAGATGAATATTTCAAATGATTAACATACCTGCTTATAGTATAATTTGTTACATAACTTTATACCTAACCTCCTTTGTCATTGTAACATGGAAGTTAAATTTTTCTCAAATCTTTTCCTTTTTAAAATTGATTTATAACAAAAATCCTTATCAACAAGTTGCCTTAAATTTGAACTGCTCTTCCAACTAGCAACTTCTAGATGCTCAAAATCTGAAATTAATTGTTCAGATCAAGCAATAAAAATGGACAGACCTAGATTTTATATATTTGACCAACTTCAATAAGTTATTTAGATTATAAATATTTTAGATATTTATTATGAAACTTATCTAAAAATTGCAAAGTATCAGACTATAGGCACTCAGACACAAAAGACAATGGATATGTACAGGGGGTTGGCATAAAAGGTGCCTGGAAGGAATCTATTGCTTTACACTGCAAAATGTTGCTAGACATGTGAACAATTTACCCCATTTTATTTGAAAAGCTGTACAAATACTTCACTTAGATTACATCATATTCTGCATAGCACTTTCTGCTCCACTGATGTTTCTTTTCTTCCTCACAATCTTCCTTGGAACTAATTAATCTCAAGTATACAATTTGTCTGAAGTTTACAGCACACTTTATGGTCACAGACTTTAGTGATGGAGCATCAGATTCCAGATTGTTTAGAATTCCTCTTGTCTTGTTTCATTTACTCGTAAAAATGATGGCAAAGTTAAATGCGTGCAAACAGTAATATCATTGCACTTTAGATCAATCCATTGATCATTTTTCTGTCTTATCAAGACGTGACATTTAGCCAATTCCCTGGAATCAGATATGTACCACAGACAATCTTGTGATTGTAAGCCGCCCTGAGTCCCCTCAGGGAGAAGGGCGGCCTATAAATCTCAATAAAATGAACTAAAAAAAAAAAAGACATTTAAATAATACATTCAATATACCTACATTTATCTAATGAATGGCTGAAGGGTTTTATAATGTTGGGTTTATTAAATGAAATGATACAAAATTTTGTTTACTATTGAAAATGAAAACATGATAATTTAAGCTAAATTTTCTTTACATATGTTTTCTAAAAAGGATTTAAATTATCCTGTATATTTTATATTGGATATACTGTACACCCTAATGGCTAAACCTCTTGATCCATATAGGAGGCCACCCTGCCTTAATGTGTATCATATGTGTTAGTAGCAGGGACGTGGAGGCAGGGAGGCTTGGCCTCACCAGTGTCATGAAGAAAAGAAAAGAATTTTTAAAATAATTAAAAAGGCTAAGGTAGTTGCTGCCAGACTCCAG